AGTTGACAGGAATTAGCCATAGAGAGTACAGAGAAACCAGGAAGATGGGTAAAGAGACTCACAGGAAGGAGTAGGGAAGGACTTGGGAGTTTGGGGGTCTTGTTGGTTTGGGATGGCTGGAGAGATGCTCTCTTGCTCCGTCTCCAGCCAAAAGGGAAGGTCAGCTGGTTGTTTCTTGGCCTCTCTCAGTCAGTCACCCCAACATCTGACTCCGGAATCTTTATTGGTAAATAGAATGATAGAGACTTAGTTAAAACTACATTTGGCGGCAGCAGCAGAGCCAGTGGGACCAGAAGTCCAACCAGGCCATGGCCTGAGCAGCGAGGACGCTGCCTGTGGGCCATGGGGCTGCAGAAGGTAGTTAAAATACCGGTAGATTCAGGTGCAGTCTCTAAACCGACAGAGAAACAGCACAGCTCAGGGGGCAGGTACTTGCCTAGCATGCTCAAAGGTACATTGTCTAGCATGCCGAGTTTAATCCCCAGCACAGCAGAAACTGGGGTGGTAGCAAACCCCTGTAAGCCTTGAACTGAAGAGAGGCTGCCTTGGCAGGAGGGTCATTTTTAGCCACCAAGTAAGTTCAAGGCCAGTCTGGGAGTAGATGGAAGGAGAGAGCATGTGTGGTGGAAAGTTTCACAGTGATTTTACACATGCCCGATCTAGTTGTTTCAAAATTTCACCCATTATAATATCCCAAAGCCAAGGTGAGGCCAGCAATATTGCTTGCCGGGTAAAGGCGCATGTTTTGCAAGCTTGGCACACTGGGTTCTGTCCCTGCAACTCACGTAAAGGTGAAAGGTTGTCCTTTGACCTCGACCTCGTGGCTGTCCCGTGTAAACACACAGTGCAACAACTTTTAAAGCAATGCTACATTAACTTCTATAACTTACGTTTGTGTGCCTGCGCATGTACATGCATGCCTGCATGGTGGGCGTGCGTTTGTATTTTCCGCATTCATACCTCTGTTCTTCCACTTCTTAGCAGTATGACTTGGGGATGAGTATCTTCAGGTGCTCCATTGTGAAAACTCTTCTACTCTTCAAGGGTGAAATGGGGTGATTTACTGCACAGTTTGCTAAACAAATGTTGACTCACTTTAACCAAATAACACCGTCAATTAGAAAAAGGGCTAGGCAGTGGTTTCTGCCAGTAATTCCAGCACTTGGAAGTCTGAAGCAGGAGGATTTCCATGAGTTTGATGCCAGCCTGGACTACACACTTTAACTCTTTTTAAAAACCAATTAATAAATAAGTAAATAAATAAGGAAAGGCATTTCCTTTTTTTTTTTTTTTTTTTTTTTTTTTTTTTTTTTTTTTGGTTTTTCAAGACAGGGTTTCTCTGTAGCTTTGCGCCTTTCCTGGAACTCGCTTTGGAGAACAGGCTGGCCTCGAACTCACAGAGATCCGCCTGGCTCTGCCTCCCGAGTGCTGGGATTAAAGGCGTGCGCCACCACCGCCCGGCTGGCATTTCCTTTTTTAACTGTTTGCTTCACGGAAACACGCACACACATTACACAAGGGACTGATGAAAATACATCAAAGTGGCAAATTTTATATTAGAAAAATGAGATTGGAGTAAGTTTGAGACTTGACAGGTGGTCTCCCTCCACCCCCCTCGTGCTGAGAATGAAACTCAGGGCCACAGGCATGCTGGGCAGATGATCTACCTCAGCCACAACACTCAGCCTTGGCTCTAGAGTTTTCCTCACATAAATGAGACAATGGTAAGTGGGGAAGCCTTGTGTCTAGACAAAATACAGTCCACTGCTAAACTTCGTTGTTAAAAATCCACTGATGCCCTTCACAAAAATGGCTCTCTAGTCTATCTTTCTAGCAGTCAGCCCATAGTAACAGTTAAATCTGGGACCTTCTGCCTTCCTAGAGGGCCTAAAGCACTGTATTAAAGCTGTTGTCTTAAAACACATGGACAGCCCCCAGCACTGCTAGAGGACCACAGAAGAGGTGGATGCCTGGCATCACCACTCGTGGGCAGTTTACATACAGCTTCACAAACCTCAGTACCATTGGACAGCGGCCACTAATGGCTGTCTCAGGCTCAGGACACGCTCTTCAAAGTGAGAATAACCAAGAAACCGTCTCCATCAATGGGAATCATAGAAATTCATTTCAAAGACAGTAGCAGAAAGCAGACATGGATTTTCTTTCGCCTTCTTCCCGCTTCTGAACATTATTCCATCCCCCAAGCTCATGGAAAATAAAAATATAGAGACAGTCCAAACACATAAAGATAATGCCCTTCACTCCATTTCAGTCAGATGAACTCTATCAGGTCACATTTTACATTACAGGCATGTATTCCAATCCAAACGAAACGGCGAATGTTCCAGGCATGCCTTCTCATCTGTGGCTCTCTTCTAGCAAGAATGTGTGTGAGTCATGTAATAAAAAGACAAAGTGGACTTCTAGTCCAGTGAGCAGGAACTATGTCTGAAGAAGGAAATAACATAAAAAGGACTTTTCTCCTGCAGTCTATGTGCTCTTCTCTAGTGAGCTTTTCATTTTAGATCTGCAGAAACACGTCGAAGCTCCCATGGAGGTCTCACATGTTGCCTTCCCAACCTTTCTGGCTGGAGCACCCGACAAGATACATTTGTTACAATTAATGGACCAGTCCTGACATACCACCCTTGCTTTTGTCCTTACTTTGCTCATATTTCCTTTTTTTTTTTTTTTCCTAATGATTTTGGCTTTATCTCATCTAGGAGCTCAGCTAGATACACTGAATTTAGTCTTCATTTCTTCACAGGCAACTTTTGCTGGGACAGAAGTTTCCTTGCTTGTTGTTGTTGGTGGTGGTGGTGATGGGGGGTGTGTGCGTGTGTGCATGTGCATGTGTGTGTGTTTTATGTTTGGAGACCGAGTGTCACTCTGTAGACCAGGCTAGCCTGGGACTCCGAAACCTGCCTGCCTCTGCCTCCCCAGTGCTGAGATTAAGGCTGTGTGCCACTGTGCCCGTGGAATTCTGTTTTTGATAACCACTGCAGCTCTTGGTAGTACTGGTCAGGTGTTTGGTACAATGTTGTGTTTGTTGGGACGTTCTCATGATTTTTTGCATTTTTAGAAGAGATCATAGAAGTGACGTGCCATTTCGCCACACCCTAGTAAATGAATGCACATGTTCACTGTTGTCAACCTTGGGCACATGACTAAGGTCATACAAGCCATGTTTATCCACTGTGCTTGTTCCCTTGGCCATTCTTCACTCTTTGGAAAGAAGTCACTATCCACAGCCCCAAATTCACAATGTGGAATATGGTTCACCTCCTTGAGGGCAGGCTATCTATATAAATTATTTGGCATTTCTCCAGAAGGAAACAATTTTTAAAAAATCGGCCATGTGTATTAGCTCACACCAGTAACCCCAGCACTAAAGTAGGGGACTGCCTTAAATTTAAAGCCAGCCCTAGCTACAGTGAGAAACTCATTTAAAAACAAAACAAAACAAAACAAAAAAGCAAAACAATCCAAGGTGGGCTAACCAACCCTGCAACTACCCAGGCCAAGAACTAGGGTTATGAGTTGGCCTACCCCAACACCCACCCCATCTATGATCTGCTGGAGCACATGAAGGGGCCAGTCCAAAGCTGCAGAATCTCCACGACACAGAGCAACAGGATATTCAAAAGAATCCCAGTGAGGGCCCAGTATTGACAGTGTAGCAGAAACCAGAGGCCTCGAACCAGACCAATTACTCTTTGCAATGAACACTTGCAAGTAAAGATATATGGATAAAAAGGGATTACTGTATGACTCAGTGTGGTTACACTACAGCTTCCGTGATGAGACTGATTTTCCTTTTCTTTTTTCTCTCATTTTATTTTGGGGGGGAGGTTGCAAGGGCAGAGGGCAGATATGAAGGGATGGGGAAATGAATGGGCTCAAGATGCATGATATGAGAGACACAAAGAATAAATAAAAAGAAAGTTAAAAAAAGAAGAAGAAGAAGAAGAATCCAAGGGCTGGGCATGTGGCTCAGCTGGTAGAGTGTCTGCCTACACACAAAGCCCTGGGCTTTATCCCCGGCACTGTATAAAATGGCATGGTGTTCCAGGCCTGTAATCCCAGGATTTGGAAGGTATATGTGATAGTTTGAATGCAATTGGCCTCCATAATCTCCTAGGGAGTGGCACTATTAGGTGTGGTTTTGTTTGCATCTATGGTCTTATTGGAAGAAGTATGTCACTGTGGGGCGGGCCTTGAGATTTCCTATGCTCAGGATACCGCTCAGTGTTTTAGTTGACTTCCTGTTGCCTGCAGGATGTAGGACTCTCAGCTACGTCTGCCTGCACTCTGCCAGACTCCCTGTCATGATGATAATGGACTGAACCTCTGAAACCATAAGTGAGCCACCCCAATTAAACGTTTCCTTTATAAGAGTTGCCATGGTCATGGAATCTCTTCACAGCAATAGAAACCCTAACTAAGACAATATAGAAGGATCATCAGTTAAAGGTCATCATCATCGAGCCTGGGCTACATGAGACTCTGTCTCAAAACCAAAACAAAACCAAACAAAAATAACAACAGAAATCCCCAAAACATAAGCAGCTTGTTGTCTCAACAAGCAACTGATCCCAGAAATATAATCTAAGAATAATGTGTGTCACAATATAATTAGGTTGCTGTTACTCACAAGGGCTTACAATGTCCTAGGCACAGCAGAACGTTTGAAGTCTGTGTGGCATGAATAAGAATTAGCTGCCTGCTCCAACTCTATGATGGCTGTGGTAGAAGGCCCAGGGTAGGGCAGGGTGGCCCAGTATCCCAACTGTGGATGATGTCTACAAATGAATACTTACTTGTGGCTTTTTGTTGTTTTATTTTTTTGAGACAGGGTTTCTCTGTGTAGGTTATCCTAGAAGTCGCTCTGTAGACCATGCTGGCCTTGAACTCATAGAGATTCACCTGCCTCTGCCTCCCAAGTGCTGAGATTAAAGGTTTTTTTTGTTTGTTTGTTTGTTTGTTTTTTAAAAGTGATTTTAGAGCCAACTAGGTTGACTAGCTTCCTCACTGGGTCTGGTATGCAAGGCTATATAAGCAGCAGCTTCCTAGATAGTGTATCCAGCCTGCTGCTTCTATTGGTTTCCCTATGGGATGCTGGAGATGGTTTTCTGGTGGATACAATGACCAGGATTTACACTGGCAGGTCACCCTGTCACTTTGCATCAAGCTGCAGATGAAGAAATTTGTAATGGATGCTTTGCAGCGCCAAATTCAAGTTCCCTGGATGCCAGAGGAGCCACATCTCAAAGAACTGGGCCTTCATCGAGTTTAATGCAGATGCATGTGAAGACACAGAACCTGAGAAGTGGCTCATCCTCTACGGTAGTGGGGTCACACCCATCCCTAACTGTGGTCTCCTGGACAAGTGGCGGGCCCTGTACTCCTGAGGTCTTCCGCTGTGCTGAGCCACACACCCTACCAAAGACACTAACATAGCTCACAATTAGTCTTTAAAAAAAAAAAAAAATTTAGCCTTTTTTGCTCTTTCCAGTCTTGTGTTTTATTCTCCTTTTCAAAATTAACATTTTTTAAATAGGAAAGCCATTCTCGAATGATAGAGAGCAAGAAGAGAATGCCCCTTCAATGAACTGGTCATATCTGAGGTTTGTTAAAACTGAATTACCAAAACATTCAAATAAAACAATATGCTACTCATAGCTCAGACATGGATGCTGAATGTTTACATCCTAAGAAATAACATGCTACACTTCATTACTTTGGAGATGAATATAATTTAATTTTCCCATTAATTATTAAAGTAGATGATGTGGGTCTGGGTCAAACAAGCAAAGGTCAAAGGACAACTCTGTAGAGTTGGTTTTTCTTTGCACCTTTGCAAGGGTTCTGAGCACTGAACAAGGCTTGTCAAGCACCTTTACCCACTGGGCCATCTCGATGGCCCAAGGGATGGATGTAATTTTTATCCAAGCCGGAGACTGCCAGAAAACCAGTACTGTCCACTTTTACCAGCAGAAGAGGGCGCCGTAAACAGACTTCTTGTACAGGGCCTTTCTCATTGTTTTAGGACTCCTGTTTTTCCATTTCACTAAACTAATGCCACCTTATGTCTGGAAACACACCCAAGGGGCTACAGATTTGAGAACTTTAATCACAAAAGGACATGGCAACTCATTTTAACTGCTTACTTGGAACAGTACTGCTGGTATCTTTGCAATGAAAAGTGAGGCAGTATGCCATAGAGTCTTATTACTGGACATTCAACAGCATCATCGTCCTAAATGTTTTAATGTTGATGTACGTAAAATTTATCATTTTAGGTAGCCAGTCCTGTGGGTTGTTAAGTTCATGCACATTGGGCAACCATCACCATCCACCTCCAGAATTGCATCCTCCTCCTCAAATGAAACTTTGTATGCCTAAAGTACAAATTCCTCACTTCCTCCCTGCTCTAGACTCTGGTAACAATAACCTTTTCTAGGATCCTCAAATGAGCCAATCATACAGTATCTGTTCCAAAGTTGTGCCTGCCTTCACTTAGCATTGTATCTTCAAATAATGCCATGAATATGGATATGCAAGGATCTCCCTCAGCCCCTTCTTTTCGCTTCCTTTGGACATGTACAGATATTTAATGAATACATCAACCAAATCTACGTAACAGGCTGTGCATCCCAGAAGCTTCTTAACATCACTTCTCATGGAACTGGATTAAACTCATCTGCCTTACACCTAAAAATTACTTAGGAGTGTCCTTGTTGAGATAGGATCTTACTACGTAACTCTGGCTGGCCTGGCACTGTGTAGACCAGGCTCACATAGACCAATCAGGCTTTGAACTCCTGGGTAATCCTCATGTTTCTGCCTCCCAAGAGACTACAGGTGTACACCTCACTCAGCTTTTTGGAGACCCTCAACTTTCAAAGACCCTAGGCCTGGGAGGGCTTCTGAGCCACTGCCTTAGTTCTGGCCCAGCTTGACTCCTGTCCAAATCACAGCCAATCTGTTGTGATAGTTTTGTAAATCTGACACAACCTAGAATCACCTGAGTGATAGCTTCTGGGCATGCCTGAAGATAGGGGTAGTATTTTGACTGCATTAATTAAAGTGAAAGAGCCCACTGTGGTTGGCACCATTCCCTAGGCAGTGAATCCCAGATGGTGTAACGGAGGAAGCAAGCTGAACACTAGTGTGTATACACTCATGGCTCTCTCCTTCTGACTATGAACAGAATGTGGCCAGCTGCTTCAAGCTCCTGAGGCCTTGGCTTCCCTGCTATGATGGGACTATAATCTAGAACTGCAGTTTAAAATAAACCCTTTCTGGGGGCTGAGGAGATGGTTTGGTGGCAAAGACCACTGGCTGCTCTCCCAAAGGACCCGGGTTCAATTCCCTGCACCCAGATGGTAGCTCATAGCTGTCTGTAACTCCAGTTCTAGAGGATATGGCACCATCTCACAAACATACATGCAAAACACCAATGCACATAAAAATGGCTTTTTATTAAATACGTCTTTAATAAAATTAAACAACCCCTTTCTCCCTGAACTTGCTTTTGTCAGGGTATTTTATTATATCAACGGCAAAGGAACAAGACAACTGCAACTTCCCATGCACAGGAATGTGGCTCCTGAGGTCAAGCTCGGGCAAGGAAAAAACCTGATGAATTTCTGTAAAACCAGTACGAGGGAAAACAGGAAGGTCAGGAAGGTGCTGAAACCCACACGAGAGCCAAGGACTACAAAAGCAGTCCTTCCTCAAGCCTTTTTTCCACCTGCTAAAACACTGACATTTACGACTGTTTCAAATTACTGGAAGACTCACCAATCCCAAAACTTTCTCGAGTTCATTCAGGGTTTCTGTCAAAAGTTCCTTTCAAAGGAATTTCAAGAGGGGCCCTCTCTCTCTATAACTGATCAAGAGCAGCCTAGCTCACGGTTTATGAGAAGTTGTGAGTGTGAAAACACTTCAAGTACTGGCTGTAAACACGGTCAGTGTGTTTCTGGCCAAGCAGGTGTGACCCAAGTGGATCTTTCTGGCTTCTTTTTGGATGTAGAACTGAAAGAAGAAAGAAACTAAGCCAGCACAGAGACAGTGATGGCTCCCCACTCTGTCCTGGTAGAGACGGTCTAAGACACTCCGTGACAATGTCCACTCATAAGGTTCAGCATCTGCTAAAAAGTCAAACGTGGCCAGGTGGTGGAGGCAGTGGCGCATGCCTTTAATCCTAGCACTCGGAAGGCAGAGCCAGGTGGATCTCTGTGAGTTCGAGGCCAGCCTAGTCTACAGAGTGAGATCCAAGACAGGTTCCAAAACTGTACAGAGAAACCCTGTCTTGGGGAAAAAAAAAAAAAAAAAAGTCAAATGTGGTTTTGCCCTCCCTGGCCCAACTGGGTCCTTGTTGTAGGTAAGTTCAGATGGGACCTGACTCCATATAAGTCATTGCCTGAGTTCCTTCACTACTCAGCCATCCACAGGGAGTATGGTTCCCAGGCAAACATGTTAGCCTCTGAAGAGGGAACAGGACCCTGTTTAAGCTTCAAGCCTAAAAAAACACATTCCATGTGATTACCTGGGCCCTGCAGTCAACTGTTGTAGCTGGAGAGTTTTCTCTCCGGGTCCCGCCAAACCCCGGCAGTCCGACAGCCCACTTATAAAATAAACACACAGATGCTTATATTATTTGCAAACTGTATGGCCGTGGCAGGCTTCTTGTTATCTACTTCTTCTATCTTAAATTAACCCATTTCTATTAATCTATAAGTTGCACGTGGCTCGTGGCTTACCGGTACCTTATATCTTGCTTCTCATGGCAGTGGCTGGCAGGTCTCCCTCACTCAGCCTTCCACTTCCCAGAATTCTCCTCTCTCCTTGTCCCGCCTATACTTCCTGCCTGGCCACTGGCCAATCAGTGTTTTATTTATACAGAACGATATCCCCAACAAACTGTGACCCAACAATGTCACCAACTGTGGTACTCAGTGGCTTGTCTTATTCAGTGTCCTTAGGAAGAGGGATGACTGACTATGATAAATCCCCGGTTCTCTAAGAGCCCTACTCTATTCCAGTTTTATTTCCTGCATACACGTGCATGTCTACATGCACATGCCCTTGCGTGTGTGCATGGAGAAGGCAGGGTAAACCTCAAGTGTTCCTCCTCAGGAGCTGTACACCTTGTTTGCTGAGGTTTCTCACTATGACTTGGGGATTCGGGGAGGCTGGCTGTCCAGGAAGCCCCAAGGATCTGTCTGTCTCTGCCATCCGGAACAGGGACTACAAATGCATGTTACCATGCCTGGGTTTTTAGACGGGTGCTAGGACCCGAACTCAGGTCCTCATGCCTACACCCGCACGTTAGCGACAGAACCCTCTTCAGAGCCCCCACTCATGGTACTTTTTAAGATGAAGACTGAAAACACATGCTCTTAAGGTGCTAGGTTTTCCTGCATCCATGACACGGGCTGGCATCTCTAACTTCATATCCCTGAAGCAGATCTGTGCTGCTGTGCGGAATGCTGCTTATTTATTTAACAGAATAAAATAATTTATTTTCATGTAGAAATGACATTCTATAGTGATTTTTTTTTTTTTTGAAAAGCCACATCACTCTCCATTCCTTAAGCATGGGTGTAATTTTATTCATGTGACATCAATACTGTTTGACACCTAACACTACCCTTCTCCCTATTTAACTTGGAACATCTAACAGTGTAGGGATAAGTGTGAAGCTCTTAAACAAGTTACCTTTTTCATTTATAAAATGGCTCCTTTCTCTCAATACCACTCTAGATATATTGATTTGTCCTTAGGACTTCCAAAGACTCAAAGGTTCACAGGCCTTCTATCTACTCAGCACAATGGTATTGACATCCCATGGAAACTACTCCGTTTTTCTCCTTCCCGTTGCCAACGGGAGCCTGGAAGAGTAAACACGGGAGTGCTGTGAAGTGTCTGGTCCTGTCCTGGTGTGCTCCTTCCCATTCCTCTTCCGTCTTCTGTGATGAGACTTCTTGAACGGAAGGCAAGATGGCTGCCATCCTTCAGTTATCACAGTACTGTACCTTTAGAATGGACAGCATCAGCACTGTGATAACTGAGCCAGGGCAGCCTGTCAGTCACCATGTTCGTCAGGGGCATCACTCCCTTCA